AAGAAAGAGTTGAAACAATGAGGAGGAAGAGGAATGAGTGAGAAACCTTTCTCTATTGACTAAAATAATCGTGAAATCCTTTTCTATTAAAATGAAATACTGAAAATGAAAATGCCAAATTAACTTATGAATAATAAAAAATTGACTTAACCAATAATAGGAAAGGGTTTTCATCAATTTTTTGAAAATAGAATTTAGCCAAATCTCAATTACATGCAAATGGATTAAGATGATGAAAACTACCTCTATATTTCGTTTTCTTACTTTTAAGTTATATCCATTTAATTCGAAGAGTATGAATGCGTTTTGACTATTGTATAGCGTCTTCAAATGACAATGAAATGGTTGTGTCGGAATCAAAAAGTTTATTTGGGTTGAGAGAGCCTACGTTAACAAAAGGTCTGAGATCAAATTGTTATACGGTTCTTCGCTAGTGACTCCATCTTATTAATAATAAATGATGGATTATGACTAGTCTTTAAACGCGTACCTCCTTAAATATCAAGGACTGACGAGTATATACATGTAGCTACAGAAGGGGGAGAAGAGAAACGAAAAATTAGAAGACGTCCTGAGCCCCTCCTTTCGTGGCAGCTTGCATTTATTTCACCAATATAGGAAGACTGGTCCCCCCCCCCCCCCCCTGACTGGGCCTTCCCCATACGCCACATATAAAGAACGTGTAATTGTAGACACTCAACATATTAAGTTTTTACACAAAAACATTAACCCCTTCTTGGCATTGACCATGTTCTTTTGTCTAGAGATTGGAACCTTTTGCTCAGTTCTGATTATGAAGAAAAAAGCATATGACTGAAATTCATCGTAAAATTGAAATATCGTAGAAGAAAAAAGGAAAGAAATATACAATGTATTAAGCACCATGACTCTTTGGACAAAATTCGTTTGTGTACATGATTATTTTAAAGCGCTATGTACTTTCGACACTTTCAATTGACATTTTAATATATTAAATCATGGTCACAATATCAAATGAAAATGATCTCTTCAAAATGTATCCTTAAAAAGGGAACATGTCTATTTATGTTTGGACTGTCATTAGGAAATTATTATGTTTCCATCCGTTTGTGTCGTACTTGCGCTTTCCGCAATGCGTACACATTCTGATTGTGTGTCAAACTTGTAACATTAATTATGTTACATCCGTGTGAAAGCTTCATGGAATAAAAGAAAACACGGATATATAAACACACTTTAAAAACAGAGCGTTCACGTTCACAGTACTAAGAAATGTTTTGACTGTTTCTTTCTGACACTGCGCTTTGTTTATTGTAGTTTAAATTGTTTTTAATACCTGTTGTCAACCAATTTTTAAATAAACATAAATTGACTACATTAATTTTGTTCAACCTAGTCAATAAAGTTTACAGTCAGAAAGGAAAGAATAGATAACTGTTTATATCAAGAGGAGACTATAATATCGATTCGAGAGCGGAAGAAAACAAAAACTTACACGGGTGAAACACCGTTATGTCAACCAGACATCAAGGACATTCCGAAGATTGTTGAGATGAAAACGGGGTCAATAGAATCGATTGATTCGGCACCGGTAGAGGGTGCGAATAATGCACATCAAGCATGCAAGATGGGGTATACGACAGTGGACACTAAACCCAGGACTTTATTATCACTTTTCATCACTTCCGAGAGCCATTGCGATCGCAAAAACTTTCATGAAATGAAATCAAGGGACAATTTAAATGCTGCATGATACTAAATGTAAAAATCACGTTTGGATCACGATATATATATGACATTGTAGTATGTGCACAATCTGATGTAGGTGATGTACAAAGATATTAAAATTGTTTTGGGTTAATTATTTTGAGAGTCTGCACGATAACACTTTTTTTTAAACAACACAAAAGTAACGAAACTCTTCAAATGCAACTGACCTTGTTTTCTCATAAATTCATTATCAGTAACACATCTATAAGCATAGAATGATAACGCAAAGTTTTATCTTAAAGATAAACTTGAGTTCTGGTAATGCGATTGCATTGTGAAAGAAAAGGTGTGGAATGGATCAGAAAAGTTGATCATATAGCATGTAAGTAATGGTGTATAATGCAAGGTTCTGGAGTTATCAAAATCTTCATAAATTTGGCAGAGTCTTGGTAAAGTAACAATCACTTACACAGAAAGATGTATATGGGACAACACACACGATGTCGGGGCTAGTACTACCCTGATTTCCTTATCTTTCTATGCTCATTACTCAGCCAGTATACATTTTCTTCCAAAATTGTTTGGCACATGACATTTATTTGTAATCTTGAACATTCAGTGTAAGTTTCGTTTGATTCTGTGAGAATTCATTTTCTTTTTTTACCATAACTCAAGTTTATCTTTAACTATTGTTTCATGGGGGAAACAAATACGGCAGGGAATTAACCATGCCCTTGATAATCACGAAATGTTTGCCTCTGCGGTAAATTCTAAGGACGTTCAGGGCCCTTCATAAAGCCACATGAACATTGCTTTCTAAACAAATTGATTTAAATCAATTGTTCATGACATTGACGTCATTGTGAGAATCTCGCTACACAACATCGATTATATCAACATCATGGCTAGTTTAATTGTTTCCGCATATCAACAATATTTACTTGTAAAGTCTAATTGTGCATGCATAAATAATTAGTACCGAATTTGGCACTTGGTATTGGAGGAACATGTAAACGTTAATTTGATGAGCGTAAATTTGATGATTAAACACTTTCAAAAATAATTAAATTTGCATTTTACAAAAAATAAAACTTAAACAAAATCGGCGGGAGCCTGGAGGGGTGAAGAAGGAAGAGGGGGAGAGAGAAAGGGAGAGAGAGAGAGAAAGAGAGAGAGAGAGAGAGAGAGAGAGAAAGAGAAAGAGAGAGAGAGAGAGAGAGACATTTGGAATTGTAATGTATGGAGTTACGTTTTTACTGCAAACTGTAAGTATTCTGCAATACATATTTTGAAAAGATTCACTATTTATATATTTTTTTTAAAACTTCTAGATTCCCCCCCCCCCCTAAGAAACTGAAAGTGTTCCATTGACGTTCTGGGTTTAACATCACACTTATTGTTGATAATATTGATATCCCAAACTCGTTGGATATTATGTCATACTTTGAACAAAAGTTTTAAAAGGACGTAACCTTCTATATGGATAAAAGTATGCTAATTGCAAGTATTAGCAAAGTTTGTTCACATGTCTCATCAAGGATGAGATCCCTCTATATGAAAGCCTTTCCCACGTGTATTTCTTTTCATCATTTTACTCACACATCAGCAAGCATAGGCTATATATACACATTCTGAAATAGGACTACAGATCGTTACTTCTCTTATGTCGAAAATCGATGGATCTGTAATGAAACATGGACAGAACATAAAATGACATTAAAAGACCGTTCACGCGTAACCAGGGTCACGCTTACCTTTTACCCTGTTGTACACGGAACGTCATTTGGTTGGTGTAGGGCTGCGTCAGTAAAATGGCGATTGCCTTTTTGTTTCCTGGATGCATTGCATAAGCGCACTTGTAAGAAAATTTAAAACCATCAACCAAAATAACTTTTGAACGAAATTAAACCATTTTTTTGTCTTGATATTTCAAACACTTTGCATGGACAAAATGTTTCAAAGTTCCAAACAAGTTAGCACGGCCTTATAACTAAACATCATGCATCATGTGCATGCAAAACTATTCAGTAGATGGCGCTATTCAATTTTAGATAATGAGCAAACTTTAGTTTTCCAGTGAATGAATATTGACTGTTGGCGCCGCCTCTGACCCTTACTCTATGTAATCTATTTGGCGTGTCTATATTTTAATACTACGATGAGTCAAAAAGAGTGGTACTCCCCTCCTTTCAGCCTGATCAAAACGCCCTTTTTCTAATATTGATCTACCAAGGTAAAGTCGATACAATCTTAAAAGAGTTCTATCAGAAGGTTCATAACACCGTTATATGCAAATACAGTACCAAGATAAATCAATAAGAAAGTTGTTATACTACAAGAACAGTCTGCAGACAATAACTGTCAGGGTCACTGGGGTACATAGATCAATAAAGTAAAGATTAAACTTTAAAAATATCAATAAAGAAAAAGAAGAAGGAGAAGAATGGGATGGAGGAGAAGGAAAAGAAGGGGAAGAAGAAGAAGGGAAAGAAGAAGAAGAAGGAGAAGAAGAAGGGGATAAAGAAGAAAAGGAAGAAGAAGAAGAAGAAGAAGAAGAAGAAGGAAGAGAAAAAGAAAAAAAGGAAGAAAAAGAAGAGGAAAAAGAAATTGGAGAAGAAAAAGAAGAGGAAGAATATGTATAAAAGGTTTGTGAAATATGGAAATTAACAATTTTTTCAAAGCGTAATATTCAATGTTTCAGCTGGTTTGTATTTTTCCACCCCTTCTATTTTCTTTGAAATGTAGTAATAAAACTAGTTAGATAGGTCTAATTAACCCCCAAAGTATTACTGGAAGTTAAACAATTTCACGATCTTAGTGAAAGTTACACCCGATCGCAAAGACTTTCGAGAAATCAACTCAAGGTTGTCCAGATCACAATATACATCATTTATTTGAATAGGTAATGAGCATGGCTATCGAAATATTATAGACCGATTCTTCGAAATTCTTTTCGATGGGGTATGGAATTAACTAAAAGACATTAATCTGTTTGAAAACCATAGCCAAGAGTTTCAGGCAAAAGATCATTACCCAGTGGGTCCAAACAAAATCCATCTCTTTTAGAATGTCTGTCTTTTCTGAACTTACTTGGACAATATTTCTGTTTGCTTTAATCTGGTGTCTGAAACGCAATTGTTAGATCGTTTGTAGTCACCAACTTGCTTTTAATTTATTGTATACTCTATGGACATTATCACTTCAGAGTACAAGATACACTCTTAATCTAGTGATCATAATTATAAATATTGTCAATAATTTTTATTGTAATTTATTGCATCAGTTTTTACACACAAATAGAGAGCAATCACTTTCACTCGTTTCAAATTATTTATTAGATGATTATCGTATGCACATAGTTATATATGAACTTCAAAACATCAACATTGCATCATTGTAATTTATTGCAAACATTTTGTCAGAAAGAATAAACAAAATACTGGAAGTTCTCGAATATTTTGCTGCATTTCTAAATGACCTAAATGCAAATGTTAATAATGGACGGCATAACTCAATACAAATCAACTCAGCGATCGCCTTCCGGTTTAAATTAATAATAATGATGGCAGAGTCTATAACATCATTATGAGAACATGATAGAAAAGTTCACATAACAAAATGTTTCCTACTTCCGGGAAATTATATTCTTATGAATCATTGATGGGGAATGGTCACTGTGTGAGTTCGTTTGCTGTTACATGAAGCTCTAAATTAAAAGAGGGGAAAATCCAACTGAGTGTACATGCGACTCACAGACTGTCCCATTGTCTTACTCAATGATATCAAAATGGCTTTGTTTATTGACATCGTCTAACCATCTTACAACCCATCTTGTTTTCTTCTCATCACAATAATTCACATGTTTGATTACACTACTCAACGTCTTATCTTCATCTTTGTTCATATTATTCTCCTCCTCTTCATGAAACTTCACCGATTCTGACTGTTTGCTGATAGTCTCTGTTTTCGTGACATTCTTGTCCTTGGAAGCACGTAGTTTTCTGGCTCGTTCTAACCAAACATCAGGCGATTCCTGTTTTGAGTCAGTCTTTGGGACTGTTTTTCCTCCCCCGCCACCATCAAGGATTGTCTTTCGTGGTCCAGAGACAGTCACAGATCGCAGATGGATCTTCTTGTCTTCTGTGACGCTTGTCTTTGAGCTTCGGTCAGTTGCAGTTTTCCTACTGCCATCAACCCCTGTCTTTGTATTGCTGAGGAGCTTCCTGAACTCCGGGTCGTCTCTAGCAGGTGCGTGGTCAGCGCTTAGAAACCGAACGCGACGGACCTTCCCATCAATGGTCACCGTTTCCCTATGAGCGGTCAAGTTTGATGGGGGTGATCTTGTTGGCAACGTTGCAACATGTCTGGGACCCTTGGTCATTTCCGAGGGCGCTGTCCACACCTTTTTACTAGGTTCCAGTAATCCACTCCCCTGTAAGAAAGACTGCTGAGCATAGGTAGCACCAGTGTCTTCGGGTAACGGTTCTACCCTTGACTTTATTTGTGTTTCGGATTGGTTATGCTTGATGATTCGGTCTTTGATCGGTCGATGTCCTTGCGGCTGTTGGTGGTAGCCTGCATAAAGGTTCTTCCGTTTCGAGTAAATACTTCCATTGGTTCCAGGAGTAGTGAACATCTGCATGAAACTCTGCTGTGCGGGGTATGTCAGTTTCGAAGCTGGGTTCAACTCTCCAATCGACGGAAGACGACCGCGCCCGACTCCTGGTCGTTGGTCCGTTATCGCTTTCGAAGCGAACCCCGAAGTGGTGGTAGGCCAGGAATCGAAGTTGGTGAGAGGGTCCACCGTGGCCGACGACAGCGTGAAGGTACCTCTGAGTTTGCTTGGTGATGACGGTGATCCTAGCGTCATCTTGATGCTGCTGCTGTCAGAGTCAGAGCTCGATAAGGAAGTGTCAAGGGTCATCTGGAGTTGCATGGTTGGATCCTGGACATCGAAATATTCTCAATGAATACGACGTCGTCCATATTCAGTTATCATCATTGCGTCATGAGATTCACCTGTATAGTACACATGAACAAAAAAAGTTCGGGATCATGTAACTCTGTGACATGTATTATTATTGCAAAGCTTCACGATTCACTGAATTACACAGCTGAGTTGATTCAGAAAAGGGCCATTTGATAGCCTTTGTTTGCGTGATACTTGTTTATGATGTCATTTTGACCCCCACGATGGTGGATCTGTATAGCTCTGCTTTTTGGTAGAGAAAATTCTCAGTTGACATTAATCATTTTAAAAAGCAGGAAAGAATCATATCGTTTAATAACGTAGGGTGGTCAAGGGATCATTTCGGAAAAAACACATGATATACATAGATAAGTAACTCTAACGATAAAACAATATAGTTCTAGGCAAATTGTGGAATAATATGGTAACATTTTTTTTAGCAACGGCGGAAAAGATTGAATTTCTTGGCAGCTTGTCATTAGAATATTTATTTTAAAAACGTGAACATCTACTTTAAATAAATTCTCAGATTGAAAACGTTGAATTACTCAAAAGGAAAGGTAATAAAGTTCACTGCAAATTTCGTTAGCATGTAGGCCTATACACAATAAGTCCCTATAAATAGCACAACATACAAGTCTGCGATCACATTATTTTCGCACAGTACTAGAACACTGCTGAGAAGCAGTTTCATGTTACAAACATCATATACTTTTAAGGAGCAATACTATTTGATCGAACAACACTCTGACAAATTAATTACTTACAACTAAAGAAGAAAATTTGGAAAACTTGAGTTTATTTACCTTTTAACCAATCCACGTTCTGTATCCATGATGCGTTTCGTATCCATGGCGTGCAATTTTCTTCGGCTAGTCCTGCCTAGCATGGATCATCAACCAAAGATAATAAAAGCGCGGCATCGCAACTAATATTTTCCAATCACACCTGTAAGAATGTCTGTAGAAGTGCTTTTAATTTCTTATGACAAAACAATGTCCTTCGTTGGTTATCAAGCGCTATCACGAATAAGTTGAATGTTGTTGCTGAATGCTATGTGTCGAAACCACCGATATCACGCATTACGCCCCCGTTGGTAACCCCTGCTCCAATTTTCATTGATTGTATTCATGTAGTTGCCTCCCACACTGAATAGGATGGCTTTATGTGGCATAATATCTCGTATCGATCCCCTACTACCCATTAACCCCAGATAAGTATTTCAGCTATTGTCCGAATTCTCATCGATTGGGGTCCTCAACCGGAGATGGGGTTGGACAGGAAAGAAGGCTGTAATAGTAGTTGACTCCAGGTTTGAAAGAATGTCTGTTGTTGTTGTTATTGTTGCTGTTCAGTGTTGATGCTTTTGTTATCAATTTGTTAATGTTCGTCCCACTGACAATACTACCCTTGAGAGTTATTGGCCAAAGGGCGCCATCTACTATTTCTCTCTCTCTCTCTCTCTCTCTCTCTCTCTCTCTCTCTCTCTGTATGACCTTTCCAAACATTATTTACAGGCATAATTATAGTGCAATTATTTTTTGGATATGTTAAAGTGCTTGTTTGGAATTTTATATAATTTGTTTTGCTATAATTTGTTCCATATAGGCCTATATAAGTTTAAGATAGCATGGAAAGTATCTAACTGTCCCACCTGTCAATTGAATGGTTAAATTTTCCGCTTGAGGTATTCAAACTAGAAGAACAAACAGAAAATGCAGTCGAATTCGTTTTTAGCTTCAATCATTATCATCATAATTATTTGAAGCAGCCATGTTGTACTTAAACTATTCAGGTCAGAGGCTTTGATAATTTGTTTTTCTCGGTTTATTGTCACTTGCAGATACAGTGTTTGATAAATCTGTTTTAACTTATGAATTTACGCGGTCCCCCCCCCCTCTCTCTCTCTCTCACTCACTCTCCCTCTCTTTAACACGTGTTTTTCCTTCATTTTATTATATACTTATTTATTTATTTATTTATTTATTCGGTCTTCTTTAAAATACAGGGTAGTCCTTTCAGAGCCACAAGGCCTGCTTTTCAAAGGAGCCCTGTAGGCGAGTGACAAAGTACATGGTAAAACATATAATAAAATAATATAATATAATAAAAACATATACACAATACATAATACAAAGCTTTTTACTACCAGATATGTTAGGTATGTTAACACAGTTTTCTAATTCGTAAAACAATATTTTAAAAATATTTTTACCTGAGCTATTTTTAGAAAAAATTTCTGACAAGCAAATGAAAAAACAAAAAATATTGAAAACAACACAAAAAGAAGAACGGAAGGATGTGGAGGGGAAGAAGAAGAGGCGGTACTCTTTTATTTGAATACTACCCCTCCCCCTCCCCCTTCCACTCCCCCTTCCACTCCCCCTCCCCACCGTGTGCAAAAATAGTTCATAGGATACGCATACATGCACTTGAACAGTATTTACAACCCAAAAGACAAAGTTACTTATATCATAGCCGAGACACTATCATTATAGAAACACTGCTCCATATTTGTGTATGTCTCCCTCAACGACATGCTCTGAATAACTCTTGAAACGGTATGTCGCTATATTTTCACCTAGTGTTCGACTGGGCGTTGTGGCGTGCGCCTGTAATCCAGTTACTTGGAAGTCGGGGTTGGTGGATCGTTTGAGAGCGGGAGTCCTGTATGTCGTCGCTCTATGGCGATCGGGCGTCCATGCTAAGCTCGGCATCGATATGGTTGATTGGTCGGAGGACTGGCCAACCAGGTCGTCTAAGGAGGGACGTACTGGCCCAGGGCGGAAACGCAGCAGGCAAAAGTCCCCGTGTGGAGCAGTAGTGGGATAGCGCCTGTGAATAGGCGGCGGCTTGCAGCCCGTTCAACATAGTGAGACCCAATCCTTTTTGCTGTTTCCAGATGTTTAAAAAAATATATGACATAAATATATTTTCATATTTTAGTCACAAAAATTCATTTTCTCATCATTTGTTGTTTTGCTGTTTGTTTTTGCGACGAAGCTTTGCTAATATTTTCAGAGTGAAGATGGCAATTCACATAAATCGTGATGAAACAATCACTTTTATCTATGTCGCTATTTTTCTAATCACACACACACAACAAAAAGATATATAAAGATGAAGAGAAGAAGGAATCACAATTTAAATGTAAAACAATTTTTGTACTTGCATTGGTTCACGAGTTAGGCCTACATTGGAAATGAACATATTTGCTTTTACATCTAAATAAATCTGACTTTGTTAGGTCTAATAAAAAAAATAAAAAAATAAAAAAATAAAAAAACGTGTCATGTATTTTCAAAGCCCTGCAGCAGAATTTTCGCCACAAGTACAATAGCTACTGAAAACCCGACCCCTATAAATTTGACGAAAGGAAGCCCAAAGCAAATATCAGATCACCGTCGATGCCTCAATTTTTACAAATCACATGTAAAAATAAAAACGTGACTTTGACCACCACCTTGAACTTGGGGTGAATATCTTATTGTGACGTCATGGATCGCCAGATCAGTTATTGAAGTTAATATTCCCCACACTGCCCTCGTTCTGTTGTCCTCCCTCCTCTCTTTTTCCTCTCTCACTCTCTCTCTCTCTCTCTCTCTCTCTCTCTCTCTTTCTCCATAATTAGTTGTAATTCTTCCTCTCTTTTTATAACCATCTATCCACCCTCTCTATCTGTTTGCTAAGTTTTGTGTGTGTCTCTATATCTCTCTATTTGTTCTCATCAAAAGAGCTCGATCGCCTCACCTGACTTTTGACACACATTCTTTGCAGGAGGTTGAATTTATTAAGCTTATAATTTACAACTTGACCCTCGCCCCTCTTCATAGAAAAGCACCGATTTACAAAGCGAATCATCTGTATAATTCATAATAACGTTAGTGTCACTTATTCATAATCTCCAGGTATTAAATCTGTGTCTTCACATCGGCAAATCTTTTGTGAAACATTATTATATTGTCCATGCAGCCACCTTATTTTGTGGATATCCCTCAGCTTTCGATCAATATTTAACATTAATTTGTTTAAATACGGATCACCTTATATCTCTTTACAAGAATTATTATGGATGATAGAAAATAAATACAAACCTTGAACACAAGCAGCTTGATACTTCCTTAAGGGTGACGTGTCCCCTGTACCTTTAATTACAATGCTGTGGGTTCAAATCCCATGCGTATCGGTATACTTATGCCTTATAGGGAAATTGAACAACATTTTCCTGTCAAGTGGGGTGAACAAAAATCAAACACGAAAGAATAAGAAAGTTTTTAGACCTTTGAAGTTTAGCTCACGCTGATAAAAATGGTTGCAAATCATTGCAACATCTTATAACGAAAGCAAAATCCCTTTAAGAGTTGGAGCATTTCGCAGCTTGAGCTGTAATGAATTTCTACGGGCATGTATTTGCATCAAATAGTGCAATTTGTGATTTTTTTTTATAAAGAGAAGAAAATAGTCATCGAACAGGAAGGCTATTTAAAACAAACAAATACTATGAATTAAATATTTTGACATCATTGGGGCGTTTTATTTGTTTCTCGAATATAGCAAATTTGATGTTGAGTTCTGGTAAAGAGAATAAATATCATTTAACAGTATCCAACAAAAGTTTTTTCCGTCTTAAAAAATGTTTAAAAGGGCGCATGATTTAGGGAGAGAAAAAAATCTAGAACCTGGACTGGAAATAAGTTTGAGAAGTAAGTCCGGACCGACTTGCCTAGACATACTACAAATGTGAGTTTTGCTTGTCAGGGAATGTAATTCAAACAAGTTTTTCATTAGTTTGTTTATATTTTGCCGATCTAATAAACCAACCCATCTACTGCATGTAAATGATAAAAATTCAAAATGTTGAGGTCCATTTTCTGTCGGAATAGAATTCCTTTCCTGTAATTTTTCTTAGAATGCTTGAAGAAAAAAAATCTTTGACAGTTTACAGACCAATATACAGAAAATGTATACAGTGAATTACGAAAAGATCAATAAGCATTTTATTCATACCACGGTACTATTAACTGTCAAACCGTGGATAGCATCATAATTGGATGAGTATTTTCAAAGAATTTCATACAATTTTACCAACCATTTCATTGCGTTTTCTATCGATTTGTAATCATTAAAGATATCACCATATTAAGTTAATTTGGAAACTTCTGAAGCGATCTGAGAATCTAATTAAAGTGAGTCGTCATAATAAGGTTTTATTTGTAAATAACCCAATTAGGAACACAATACAAGTGGGATTAACAAGGAATTAAGTTGTTTCTATCTTCATGTCAATTGTGATATACGCTAACCTACCTCCAGTGACCCCCTCTAGCCGTCCCTCATCATCAAAAGTTAAATAAAGGGGTAATGCATGGGTGAATATACCACTAATATAGGACAGGTGGATTTATATGAATACAATCGACATGACATGGCCCATACCCTTTGGAGACACTTCAATTAGGAGTAAAAGGCAAAGTTACCGATTTAGTTACCAGTAAACCCGACTAGGTCACATAAACAAAGAAGAGGAATAACTTATTGACCACGGGTTATCACACCAATTTATTCGACCAAGAACACGAAGAAATATGTCGAAATAGGATTATACGTTTACCTATTACTAATAATGTCAATATATACATTCGAATTAAAGCGATCAAAGGTCGCATCCATTGGTAAATTTAATAACAAAGTCCATGACGACTTGTTTTCCATTGTTTGTATTCTTGTTGAACCTGACAGGCGAGCCATCATCGTACCCTTCAACTTGACTTGTCTTTCAGCAGTATACCCGTCTACCCACGGTGGCAATCATCCCGAACACAATCCTTCATTAAAAAGGATATTTCTTTGTATTTTATTGGATTGCAGCTTCCTGGGGGTGCTTTCTATTCAAAGAATCAGGTGTTTTGATTTGTTTGCTAGACCGTGGCACTCAACTAGGGAATACACACGTAGGCACTCGTCCCTGGTCCGATTGGTGGCATTTGCGTGCCGGTAAGGCAAGGTGTCTTCACCTAACTCGGAAAACATGGTTTTTGTTTCCTCGAACCTGCAGCTGAGGACCTTGTTTACTCGGAACTCTTCCCTTGTTCGTTCATATTTTGTTTGATAATCATCATTCGTTGGAAGATTCCGGAGAAAAAATACAGTATTGTCCAGTTCTTGTCCTTGTGTCCGGTTTAACACCTTTTGCATCTCCCAAGGAAAAAGTTTGATGACCATCCATTTAATCTGGTTCGGAGGATCTCTGTTGAACATTCCATTCTTGTCTTAAAAACATTTAGATTATCAATGGCCTATCGATTTTAGAATTCGCAATGGTCCTCTGAGGTCCAAGGAAATATCGACAGGGATTTATCAGCTGAAAATTGAAAGACTCCGCCTTGGATTAATGATACAAGCAGTCTATTCAGGTAAGAAATGATACCTTTGACTTGTGACATACTGAGGCAGTTTGACTGTTTTCAATTCCAGTTACAAAACTCTGACATTCAGATTTAACAGATTCCTCTTATCAACTTACCGCTCTGTCATTCTAAAATTGTGTCACCATAATTGAATCAGACATTTATTTGTATATATATTAGATGATATAAAGGCGTACTGGAGATTTTGCTCATGATTTTGATGTAGGAAAAATTATGAAATTAAAAAAAAATGTCCAGAAGGAAACAATTTATGATATTAATGCATATTACTCAACGAATCTCTCGCAATTCTAAATTGTTTAAAGCTGTGTCATTATGAGCATTATCCATAGAGATATATTACTATTTGCTCTTGATAAAGAGCAAATAGTATATCTAAAATAGTTAAAATTTATTGTGCAAAGTCCTCGAGGTCCTCGATTTATGTGTGTTAACAGTTCACTGTTCACATGATGGGCGCATGGCCACGTCAGATAATATAGTACATCTCAAGGTCATCATAGGTTTGTAAGAAATGATTAATGTATAATTAAAATAGTTCTACTAAAATGCAAAACTACCAGAATAATGTTTAAAATCGACCATAAGAATTGACAACATTATTTTGAATGCCTTTGTTTGATATATTTTTATACATTTTCATAAAAAGCACCGCACTTTTATAAAAAGGTAAAGACGTTGCGTATCACGTAATAATTTTTGTTTGGCCAGCTGCGGAAAAGAAAATAATCTTACGTATTCTAATCCTAATGTGTTCGTTGTATCAAATTGAACAATGAAAGAAGACATGGATTGAGGGAGAGAGAAGGAAGAGAAAGAGGAAATGTAGAAATTAATAGATGACAATGGAAGAAGTCTTTCATGCACTATGTCAAGTATGTCGCTTTGCTCACTCGCATTGCATCTAACTTGCAAGACCCCCCTCCCTCATGGCGACCTATGCCCTCAAAAGTGACAAGGCATACGATACGCCAACGATAGGCTAACATGCAATTCCAATGTTCTACATTTTTGACGGCAGTTTGGGAGTCTTTATAAGTTCTACCGTGACCGAGGCGATTGTAAAATCGGGATTATAACAGAGATGGTGTTCAGAATAAAATGACGCATAGCCATGACGATTGATGTGAATTATTGAAAATCATAATTTCATCAAATAGAGTTGGAACCACATTGTCCAGATATGGAGCTGATAAATGTTTCGCGATGGGGTATAATGTTAGCATTACTTTTATTCAGGGTGGTCGAAACAGAACTTTTTTATTAACAAACATCCCTCATTATTATGCATTCGCACTCCAGATGCTTCTTTTCGTGCCCCTATATACATTTCGCTCAGCTTCCCATGATACAAGAAGTAGTAACATTGATCACAATAAACTCAGTTGGAATCCATGTTAACAGTGGTGTAGCGTGAATCCATCCATCGATAGGGGACTGGAACGATTGGGGGCGGCATCGGTCTTACTCAGAAAATAAAATGCTAATTTGTTAAGGCTACTGGTTAGGGGGCGGGTGTGGAAAGGGATCCAAGCGTCTTTTTATCTTCTCCCTTCCCTTTCCCTTTTTTTTTTCTCGCTTTTTCTTTTCTTTCACTACTCGTTTTTAACAATGGGGGGGGGGGGGGGTACACGTGCCCCGTGCCCCTGTATGTAACTACGCCACTGCATGTTAACCATGCATAATTAGATGTCTTGACCCACAGTCACTCGTATTTACTTAATACTCTATAAATAGTTCTTCGTAAGGGACACTGGTGTACTGATAAGGGATTTTCCCGATGTAGCAAGGGTCCTCTTACTGGACGCTCATTAACCTGATGACATGATAACAAGGCGTGAAGACAAATATGATAAGAGACATACTCGCGATGGTTGTCCAGTACACTGAACGTTTAAGAGGTTAAAGAGGGTGAAACCAAAGGATTGCAATCCCACATGTCCGGTTTATCGAGAATTATTCTATAAAGATTATGATGCCAACTGTGTCAGCTTGTAAACAATAAATAAAGGTTAGCGTCTTAGAGTTTGAAGTCAGAATAGTAAGGTTGGTAAAAATGTTTATTCAGAATGGCAGTTAGGTCATTTCTCTGACAGCTATAGGACAGTGTGCACGTCTACATCATGACTCTAATAGATGAATATGTTTATCGTTTCAGACCTCTGAGCGGGAACCCCTCACCTTCCGGCGGTGGTTGTGGGAAGTTCAAATCATCTACCATGCCAATCTCGTCCACCACATCACCACCAAACACGGCTCGACTGCAATATCGCATCAAACGAAGTCAACTTCGTCTCGTCCAAGCCGGTAAGAACGAACAGACGAGCGACTCGAATTCTTCCCACGATGTCAGTGTACGGAGCAGCAGGTTGGCGATGTCGTCCGATGCATCGTCGGTTTCGATCACGTGTTCAGGGAAACAGAGTTCGGTAGCTCAGCCGAGACTCCTGAGTAGGCGCTGGAGCCGGTGTGGAACCCCAGTGCCACGAGAGGATCCTGATCAATTATCCGACAATGTAGACAATGGCAACATAGTCGACAACAACAATGCGAAGGAAGATACATTGAACTCACGATATCGAGTTGATAGCTTCGTGAACGAGCCTGGGGTCGATCTCCTTCATCAGAGGCTTCCCAGCATCGAGCAGAGACCCGTTTCCCGACATGTCGTCTACTCCGTCCAATACGATGTCAAGACCAAGACTTCAACCACCAAGCCAGTCACGGTTTCGTCCTCTTTTGATTCGCCGCGTACATTAAGGCAGAAAGCTCTGCAGATGGACTTCAACCAAACCACAAGGTTGTCACGACCAGATAAGGAAATCAATGTGGAATTTGCGAGAAGGGCCACTTTTCCAAATGATGACTTCGTTGATGAGTTGACAAAGAATCGCATATTAACATGGTTGGAGAATGTTGAGACAGCTCTGGAAGAAGACTCTGTTGATTCTACAATCTTGACATCTATCCAGGAAGAATCGCTCTAATCTTTTACTTGCTGTCTTACCAAAAACATTATTGAAATATTATTTGTTTGTGTTTTGCTATTCTGTGTGTTTTACTCTATAGAATTTAAGAAGAAGATAACTCCAAGAGTTACATGCTATATTCGATTAATTGTTTTCCGTTTTGAAAAAATGAATTGTTCAGTGAAACGATCGTCGACGTGAGAAACGCGATTTAAGTCTTGCCTACAATGCTGCTTATGATAACACATTTCTGATAGTTGTCTTTATTAAACATGACTTTGTATTGAGTATGGAAACTGTTTTTACGGACATTGCTGTTCCACTTTAGGGGATTTTAAAGATAAACTTGAGTTCTGGTAAAAAAAGAAAGTGAATTCTCACAGAATCTAATGAAACTTACACTGAATGTTCAAGATTACAAATAAATGTCTTGTGCCAAACAATTTTGGAAGAAAATGTATACTGGCTGAGTAATGAGCATAGAAAGATAAGGAAATCAAGGTAGTACTAGCCCCGACACCATTTGTGTTGTCCCATATACATCTTTCTGTGTACAGTGATTGTTACTTTACCAAGACTGGGCCAAATTTGTGATGATTTTGATGACTCCAGAACCTTGCATTACACACCATTACTTACATGCTATATGATCAACTTTTTCTGATCCATTCCACACCTTTTCTTTCACAATGCAATCACATTATCAGAACTCACCTTTATCTTTAAGGAGAGGGGGTGACGGAACCCCCCCCCCCCCTCCGAAGTTTCAATAAGTTCGAAATTTGCCAATTAAAGTGGGAGGCCATGGGTTGGGGGTGAGGGGGGGGGGTATCGAAAAGGATAACAAAGATTAAATTGGGAGAGCTCAAAAGTACCCTCTTTCAACGCCACAATTTTCAGATAGTACTCTATTTGCATTGTATATGACACGAATTCACAACCATTTCGACTAGTTATCACGTAATGACTTGATAATGTTGAAAGAAATATCTTGGGATAGGGGACGTTCAGTCTCGTTAAATTTCCTAATTACTTCACATTTTTTTATTTGGTTAATTCAGTTTAATGTTCAGGTTGTAGAAGTTAAATAAATATACAGGCCTTTATTACTGAGAGTGCTATATACAAGTCAAATGCGCGATAAAGAGATTGAAACATGTACACATTAAATATAGGATTCAACTTTTCTTAGAATGCAAATATTGTTTTTTTTTTAATCAGTATAAATCGGAATCGAACGTATAGATTGGGAACACTGGAAAGAAATTGAGAAAGGGCCAAAGGGGTGTTCGAGAGGTGGCTTTGACAGATAGTAGAATGGCGTTGGCTTTACTTCAAGAACTTTTTATACTGTAGCATTAGAAAATTTAATCAATTATTAGAATAAACATAAATAAATATGTCGTGTTTTCACTTAGACTGAAAATAAGTAATATATTATTTATTCAAAATAACAATTATCAACTAAATCATTCATACCCTTAACTGTTTTTCCTCCTGCTTTTCTTAACTCAAGAATGAACGGTGGGTTGGTTTGAATAAGGCCTTTGTTGAATACTTTTAGGTATAAGATTTAATCTGTCACATTCTCACGAAAAATAAGTGGGGACAAATCATTTGTTCACATACTAAAAAACTTGGAAAGGGTGTTAATAATTTAGTTGTTAGCTAGCTGTATGTATGGTAAGTCAACTAAAACTTTGATTAAAGATACTATATCCTTTTTGCAGCCAACATCAAATTATGTAGAACTTTGCAGGAATTAGGAATATGTCATGTATGTCCTATCTGTGAAATTTAAACATTAGCAGTGTCCTAATATTCAAATTATGCAAGGAAACCAGTTTACTTGCTAGACTTCACTGTCACACACTATTGAGTGAGTGGCTGGCTTTTGTTCTTATTTGGGAATAACATATATAACATGAGCTGTAAAGGGTACATGAGCATTTGTCTACATCAATAACCCACTTCTTGTGATGGCCAAAATTAAACTGATTGAATCTTTGCGCAGCATAAAACGTATGACCATTCGGTACAATGGTCTGAAAATCAAGATTATTACTTATTGGCTCTATAGTTCCTAAGTCGATTTAACAACTAATAGTCGTTTTTTTCCCACTTGAAGACACTTTCAAGCCCCACCTTTTTTAGGGAAGTTCTAAATTAGACTTATCTTTCAAATGCCGTTGGAATTTAACCTTTTCATTTGTTTGGCCTGCAAATGGGACATAGTACCTTTAACATGGAGGTGTTTCTATCCCTTCTATCCACCACCTTGACATGGTTTGATGAGAGTATCAGTTGAGCCGTCCTTCATTTATCATGTTTATATCAATGTTTAATAGCCACTTGATATTATTATTTATTTATATGTTTGTGTGCAATAGATCATTTTTTAATGAATTGAAGTGTTTATTACAGACGTTACTACATGGTATTATATGTGATATGAGAAACAATCCTCCAATGGTGAAGCAGGAAGGGGGAATCATTGGGAAACTCTGCAAACTAAATGGATATTTAGGATTGGTTTCACTGTGTGTTATTATAATGTATTAGTCAAATAAGGAGCTGAAATACGATTTATCTTATTAAATGATTTGCTTACTATGGCAAGAAATATAAGGACAATTATGCGTCACTTAATCTTGAATTAAAAGCCACGGAGTTATGGTCAATTAGAAGAAAAGCATTTCTAAGTTTTGTATCGTTACGGTCAATTTGAACAGAGTTTTGAAAAGTCCATGCTTATCATTTAGCTTAAACATCTTCATAAAAGTAAATACTAAAAAAGTTATCACTAAATCAACAACATTGCCTGATAAACAACTTGCAGTTGTTTATTCTAACCGCTATTCATTTCATGATAAACTGTGTTGCTTGTCTCCTTGCCTTGTTGAACCTTTTTTTAACGTGAATGATTTGATAAGATGTGACTTCATCATAAATTATGAGCTGCATTGTTGTATTTGCAGCTGGGATATCTAAATCGAATTTAAAAAGTATCATCTCGGTTTGATAAATTGTAAACGGTCACTGTATGATTTATATTCAATAAAAACTATTTTACAAAGCTTACAATTTGATTGTATCATCAAAGTTTTTGTTTGCAAATGGTCTCTCCTATTTATTACAATACATCAATAACATCAGGAAAATGTCAATATTACACTATAAGATTAGAAGGAACATATAGATTCAATAAGTTTCATTGAATAAAGTTTTATTAAACAATTTTATTAATACAATTATAACTCCATAAAAAATCTCAGATAAGAAGAGCAGTGTATCTCATTTCGCTTTCTATAACGTTTTTTCCCGAGATTTTAGAGTAAAAGTTCATTAATAACTCTGAAATGAAGAAAAAAGAAGGACGTGAAATGAGACGTTTGCCTCTATCTTTTCCACTCACTATGTGCTGTACATAACGTTTTGACAGATCTCTTACACATGATTTTTTTAACAACATTGACTTGAAATAAGTAATCCTCCGATTTTTCTTTCTCTTGTTATAAATGTAGATAGCCGACGGGAGGGAGGGTTAGGGGGTAGAGGTAATTGAACCAAAGGAATGAACTAAGATTATCGATGTGTTACTGAAAGCGTATTCGAGGTTTCGCCGAAAAACGGTGATTTTAAGTCACGGGAAATTGCAGGGAAAGTCCCACTCCTAAAATAAATGATATTTGAATCAATTCATCAATTCTTTTATTGATTGATTTGTCAACGTTTTCGGGAAACGATAGCACCGTATAATCAATCTATCCAAAGACCGGCAAAATAACAGTACTATAAAATGAAGGTATATAAGGGAAAAACTCAAACAATAATTTTACGTGTGGACTATTTTTTCTATCGATCCAGACGGAGACATGAAATATATTTCAATCGTAAGAGGTCATATAACAGTCACGTGTCAGTTATGAAACCTTATTCTTTTCAGGGGGGGGGGGTATTGTTACACGCGCAGACCAGCTGATCAATAACAAGATCGTAACATGATTGTGGCGTTAAATCATTATTCATAGAGAAAACTCATAAAGAGAAAACGCACAAGTTGCTGAAAGGCTAGTCCTCTTAAATGGCTATACCGGAGATAAAGAGGTTTGAGGATTATGTATTGTTGAACCTCTGTGGGGAGGTTTAGAAGCATTGTTGTTGTTTTTCTTTCACGAAGTTCAATATAAAACCATAACAATAAAAGGCCCTGGCGGCACTTTCCACCATGACTCCTGAGGTATTGTTAAACTGACACGCATTCAAAGCGTGATTGGGGAATGGAGATGGGAATTATTGGGGTACATCACCGAGGAACAATGGAGTCCAGACGGTTGGTCTCGTTCAGTGTGTAGGTGAAGGGGTACTGCGGCGACATACGACCGCCTCCCTGACCCAGTGCATGGGGTAAAAATTTCGGGGAAGAAACACGGGGAATAACAGACAGAGCAAAACATTTACACAACTAAAGGGAAAGAGGGGGATGATGGGAGATACAAACGATTATGGAATCTCTTACAGCACCCCTATAATTCATTTATATAGCTTGTCCCTGTGCAAGTCATCCACATAGTAAAGGATCGTTACCTCACCCCACCCCCCCCCCCCCCCCCCCATGATACCAGAGCCCCTTTTGTCATGTGTAAATTTGCAATGTTTTTGTTGTTATATATTTGTAAAACTGCAAAAGAAAAGAAAATCAAACAGAAATAAATCAAATCAAATCAAATCAAATTAAAATGCCTGTAAACATAATACGCCACTGATATCACGTGGTATACATGATGAAAAGGATCATGAGCTTCAAGTCTTCATCGTTACTTCACTAACTAATCAAAAGATCATTTATACAGTCTAACAGCTTTTTATTAAATCATCAACCAAACTGGGAAATTTGATGCGCTTACAGTGATAACATATATCTTTTACTTTTTGGAATATACAAGAAAATGGCTCCTTCTAATTATCTATACAAATATTTAAAAAACAAGGTTCCAATTTAAAGAACCAAAATTGTAAGATTTAATTAAGCCTCTCATTGAGATAAACCTTTTGTCTAAAGCGGTCCTTTCCTCAATTTGTTCTTTTGCTACACACAGTGTTTTAGGAAAGTCCCCTCTTTTTAAGATTCCATTCTTTATCATTACCACGCTATACTCCCCCTCTCTCTCTCGCTCTCTCTCCCCCCCCTCTCTCTCTCTCTCTCTCTCTCTCTCTCTCTTTCCTTCTCTCTATGTATATAGATAATAGAAAAAGTCTAATTTGCAATCAAGCGGAAATTATACATTTTTTTAATGGATTTTTTTTACCGACAAGGCAAAATCAGGTTTGCTAATCAACAAATAACAAGAAATTAGTCCCCCCCCCCCCCCATCCTAATATTTAAAACGTGTTAAGTGAGCT